GCGTCCTGGCCAGGCGCCATCGCCACGGTGGCGGCGTCCTGGCTAGACGCCACCGCCACAGTAGCGGCGTCCTGGCTAGGCGCCACTGCATTTTTTTTTTTTTTTTTAATTTAATTTAAAAATTGTTTATTTTTTATTTTTTTTTTGTGTTACAATTTTTTTTCGTTTTTTTTTTGGTTTTTTTTTGTTTTGTTTTTAATTGTTTTAAAATGTAATGTAAAATTTTGTGTTTGATTTTTGTGTTTTTGATCGCTATGTTTTTTATGTTTATGTTTTTTTTTTGTTTTTTTTTTTTTGGTTTTTTTTTTTTTTATTTAATCTAAAGTTTTGTTTATGTTTTTTATTTTTGTGTTTTGTTTTTTTTTTTTTTTTTTTGAATACTTTTTGTTTATGTTTTTTATTTCTTTGTTTGTTGTTTATATTTTATTATTGTTTTTGCTTTTGTGCTAATGTTGTGTCAAATGTATTAATTTAATCTAATCTTATGTGATTATATTTATATGTTATTGTTGCAGGATTATGGTGGAGACGGAAATGATTATAGTGGGATTTTTGTACACGATGGTCTGTTCGAAGATGCTCAACAAGCGGTTGATTGGGCGAAACATGTTGCAATTAGATCAGGTTTTTGTTTAGTAGTAGCAACTCATAAATCTCAACGGGATGGTAGAATGGATCGCATTTTGAGATGCGAACGTTATCGCAAAAGGGAGGAACGAGATTTCAGTCAAGCGATTCGGTTTGATACAAAGCGGAAAGGTTGTGGGTGTCAGTTCAGAGTAAAGGTTCGACAACAGCAAAGGGGTGACGGTTGGGAAGTGAAGAGTTACGGTAAATGGGGGTATCACAACCATGAGATGATCGCATATGAAGTGGGTCATCGACAGTTAAGTGGCCTAAGTCCTGGTGCGAAACTAATTGTAAAAGAAATGAGTGATGCTCAAGTGAAGCCTGCTAAAATATTAGCATCTGTGTTGGAGAAATTTCCTGAAGACCAGCCAAACCGAAGACACATCTACAACGTCAGACAGAAATTGAGGTTTGAACGGTCAGAGGGAAGGAACCCTATACAGCAGCTTCTACACCAGGCACAAGCACGTGGTTACCTGTACTGGTTTGAATCTGATGAAGACACATCGGAGGTGACTCATTTGTTCCTTGTGCATCCTGATTGTGCTGATATGATTTCGTCTTGGCCATCTGTGATTCTGATCGATTCAACGTACAAGACAAACAAGTATAAGTTTCCACTGGTTGAGATGGTTGGGATGACTCCAACGAACCAGAACTTTTTGATTGGTTATGCAGTTATGAAGGATGAGACGGTTGCGAGTTACCGTTGGGTGTTGGAGAAGTTGAGAAATTACATCGGCCCAAGTGTTCAGCCATCGGCCATCGTCAGCGATTGTGAGGGAGGTCTCTTTGCCCCTATAGCGGAGCTGTTTCCGGAGTCGAGCCATTTACTGTGCACATGGCACATCAACAAATGCGTGAAAGTCAAAGCCTACAACCTTTTCAACAAGAACTTAGATTCAGCAGAGAGATTGGTAAATGGTAAGTGGCGGAAGATCCTGCAAGCTACCACGGAGGCAGAGTACGACCGAGCCTTGGATAACTTCAAGGATGCATACCAGCTTGTTTCCGCTCTTATCCGGAAACAAGGTACACCCGAGAAGAAGAAAAACATATGCAGCCAGCTGTGTGTCCTGCGTCCTACGTGAAGTGGGGTGCAAACATCGCTGCAAAACTGCTGCGATCTTAACACCGCCGTGATCCCACACACCAAGTGCCGCTGTGTACAGCGCAGCCCTATCCACCGCCAACAGCTCCGCCAATAAATCTGCCTGATCCGCATCTGTGACAACAGATGCTCGGTTTCCCTCTACGGGAATCCCAAGGATGGCCTCGACGTCATGCAACATGATCGTCATCTCACCGAACGGAAGGTGGAAAGAGTTCGTGTCCGGCTGCCATCGCTCACTCTAGTGCCCCTCAATCGGCCGACCATCTCGCTCTCCTCCGGCCAAGCCTCAGCCCAACTACACAAGAAGTTACAAGTCCTCTCCCGGGTTTGGCATTTCAAAATGCCGCTATCCAAAGCCCGCTCCTGGTCCTCCCAAATACGGGTAGCGATGTGTCCTAGAAAGCTAGGAATCACACTCCCGTCTATAGGTCCCCCGGCCACCTCACCCCTCACCATCCAAGAATCATTAACGGCCCTCGACCGTTTTCTGCTACCCACAGACACAGTGGACGCAGATGATGTGCCAGATCTACTAACAAACCTACCATCTCGACCCTTACGCACATCTACCCTATGCGTCTCATACGTATCATCAAGCCTCTGACTGAATGGACCGTAATCATCATATGGTCCACTCTGATCGTCGACATCCTCATCTGCATCATCCTCGTCCTCGACCTCCTCCTCCTCCTCCTCCTCCTCCTCATCATCATCATCATCATCTTGATCATCCGCAGAACAGTGCACCCGTTCTCTGCGGGCCGAGGCCGAAATACCACGGGATCTAACGTGTCTGGGCCCCGAGCTCTCCATTGAGTAGATCGTACTCCTCACGACGTCAATACTCTTCCCCACACCAGGTCCAAATTGCGATGCCTAACTCCAAGTAAATAACGAAACATAATAACGAAAACAAATTAAAAAAAAGTCGAAAATAAACACAAAAGCAAATAAACAAGTTACGGAAATAAAATTATAAACATAAAAAATATAAATATAAACAAGACAATATACATATAAACATAAGAAATATAAACATAAACATATACCAAAAACAAAAAATATAACCAAAAACAAAAAATATAAACTACAAACAAAAAAAAAACAAACATAAACAAAAACAAAAAATATTACCAAAAACAAAAAATATAAATACAAAAAAGGACGAAAATAAACACAAAAGCAAATAAACAAGTAACGGAAATAAAATTATAAACATAAAAAATAAAAACATAAACAACACAATATAAATAAAAACATAAAAAATATAAATATAAACATAAAAAAATATAAATATGAACATAAAAAAATATAAATATGAACAAAACAATATACCAAAAACAAAATATATAACCAAAAACAAAAAAATATAAACAACAAACTAAAAAATGAAAAACATAAACAAAAACAAAAAATCAAAAATGCAAAGAAAAACCAAAAACAAAAAACTAACAAAACTTAAAAAATTTAAAATTGCAAAAACTTAAAAAAAGAAGAACATCAAAATTTTAAAGAAAATTTATAAAAAAAAAAAAGGGAACTTATAATTTTTTTACATACAAAAATATAATTCAAAAAAAAAAAAAAAACAATACATAGGAACATAAAATTAAAAATTAAAACCAGAAACAATTTTTTTTTTTAAAAAAAAAATAGAACATAAAATTAAAACAAATAAAAAAACAAAATTTAAAAAAAAAAAGGGAACATACAATTTAAAAAAAAGAAAAACAAATTTTAAAAAAAAAAAAAAAAAAAATTCGAAAATAAAATTTAAAATTAAAAAAAAACAAAAAAAAATTAAAAAAAAAAAAAAAGGAGGAGGCGCCTAGGCAAGACGCCTGTACGGTGGTGGCGGCGCCTATCCCAGACGCCACCACCACGGCTGTGGCGCCTAGCCTATCCGCCGCCGCCGTGGTAGTGGCGTCTGGGCTAGGCGCCGCCTCCACCGTACGGGCGTCCTGCCTAGGCGCCTCCTCCGTGGTGGTGGCGTCTCGCCTTGGCGCCCCACCGTCGCCGGAGGTTTTTTTTTTAAAAAAAAAATTACAAAAATTACCTTCTCGCCGGCAAACCGCCTTCCGCCCACCGCCGGAGCCGCCACTTCCTTGCCGGGCCGCCTCGACATAGCTCGGGAAATAATTTAGAGAGAGAAAGTGGAAGTAGAGAGTAGAGAGAGAAATTGTGTTTTTTAGTTTGAGGGCAAAAGTGTCATTTCACTCTTATTTTGTGGGCTTTATGTAGGAATTTGCGGGCGATGTTTAACAGTTCACTTAGAGTGACCAATTATAAATATAATGTACTCTACTTCATATATGTATTCATACAATAATTTTAAAGAGCAAATTTTGTAAAATAATTATTTTAGTATATATTTATGATTTTATTTTTGGATTTAATTCTTGATCAAAGTCTTCTATGAGGATTAATAAAATAATCATGTAATATTATTTCCTTGCATTTTTTCAATTTTTGGGACGAATAAGTCTTGTGTACAACAGGTGTACATTAATTTATTGTAAAACGATCAATTTGAGCGTAACTTTAACTATTTTTATGGTAACTTTAACCACTTAAAGGGTAACTTTTAATTTATCGTTGCTTTGAATTTTGTTTTAATGTGTAATTTCTTATAGATACGTGGTCACATATTATAAAAACTAACATGATTAATCTAATATATTATAAGTTTATTTGTAAGATAAAATTTATTAATAGAAAAATTATAACTTTTGCAGTATAAAGGATAACTTTAAGTACTTTTAACATAACTTTAATCCGTTTTACAATACATTAACGTACACCCGCCTTTTTGGAGAATATGTGTTTTAGGACAGCGTACGTCTTTTAAGTGTTGCGTCTATTGTTTTTAACTTGAATCAAAATCTGCATTCAAGGTATTTAGTTCATTCAGTATTTTTTAGTTAGTAATCATGACTTACATATGTGCTGCAGTTCAGAAACTATATATCATGACTTACATATGTGGAATAAATTTAGTTAGTAATGTAGAGGGGATGTTAACGCGTGACCATGACCAAAGTTGCATGCAATATGTGTTCTACGTACTTTTTTACTACATGCAAATTACACTTGAAGTTTGCTATCTTACTTGTTTTTTCCCTTTAAAAAGAGTAGAGCACAAGCCAAATAACAAACCAAACAACGCTATCTTACTTGAAGTTGCTATCTTACTTGCTCTTCAACTTAAAACCATTCTCAGAACTAACTTCAACCCAAACAACTTTTCTATATCACAATGTCTTCTTCAAGAGCTATATCAAAGATAACCAAACTCAAATACATCAAAAACTTTGATCCAAAAGTTCCAAAAGGTGAAATAATTTTTGACATGAACGAAGAAGATGTTAAAGACATCAATGAAGAACAAGAAAATGAAAATATTGATGATGATATTATGGACAAAGCATCGAAATTGGCGATGGCGGGTGCTACAGTCGAGTACACCTTTAAAGCCGGCGCGGTGGCAAAAGCGTATGCCGAGGGAGATGTTACTTTTGAGAAGCTCAAAAGCAAGCTCGGTGTCTCGGGTTCGAATGCATCCTACCATGATGTGAACAACATGCTTGAGGAGGCAATAGGAGATGCGCAGGAGCAAGAAGAGCTGCTCAACAAGATTGATGAGGAAAAGAAAGCTAAGGGCAAAGCAAATGTGGAGGAGAGTGAAGATGAAGAGGATGAAGAGAGTGATGAGAGTGAGAGTGATGAGAGTGAAGATGATGAGTAATAGGGGTTGTTTTAGTATAATTGTATCCTACGCCCAACTACTAAGTATGTTTTTTTTTCATAGAGAGTTACTAGCTAGTATGGTGTTGGTTGTTGATTCAAAAGTTTATTGTGTTTTATCTATTAATTTATGGTTGTTGATGTAATATGTAGTTATTAACGAAGTGAAATGAATGGTTGGGCTTTTATTATTAAATTAATCTTAAATTTTATTATTTCAATAGCAATAATAATGTTTCCTTTTAATTTATTACAAGTATATGAATTTTATCCTTTAATTACAAATAGTATTAATCTAGTCAATTTGATCCTATATTTCCTGAGGTTTTTTTTAATCTAATATCTCAAATTTTTTGATGTGCTAACATCGGTATAATTCTACAAGATAATTTTGAGTACTCTTTCGAAGACCAAGTCTTATACACTTACTATTGAATGTGAGCAACTATAAGACTTGGTCACTTACTATTGAATGAGATTATGTGAGCAAATCTTTCTTTTCGAAGACCAAGTCTTATACACTTACTATTGAATGAGATTATGTGAATGTAATCGACATGGATCAATGATTGAATCAGTATGTTGTTCGTCTTATTCCAAACAGTTTACAACCATAAATTGAAGTAATAGTTAAACCAAAAGAGAGAGAATATAAGAGATGTCAAACTAATTAGCTTCAGTACGTACACAAATTGTTATACTCCCTCCGTCGCTATACAATTTTTAGGGAATTTGGTCCAAAAAAATGGATAGTACATATGTAATACGAAGAGCATCATTTATGCAGGAGATAATAATAATAACAATAAAAGCAGTTACAACAACTACAATTAAAATAATAGTTCTTATTGTTATTAACAATAATGAAGCGTTTGCAAATTGATTTGAATATTTTTTTTAAACCCAAACAAAAGTGCAAAAAAATAGATTATTAGTTGTTAAATAAAATAGATACTAGTTCTCTTACTGTAATAAATACGAAGTAGTTACAAGAAGAATCAAGCAGAAATATCATAACGATAGAAGAAAAATTATAGTTTCTCTTCCTTGCAATCCTTAAGCTCATAATCACAATACTTTGTCAAACGAGATACAGTAGAGAAGCAAGGTTCCCCATACTCTTTAACCTCCTACAACAATAGACAAAATCTTTAGAAGTCTTCATTTTTCTACAAAATTAAAGTGAATTATAAAATCATAATGAGCATATATATGGCAAAGCTAACAAACCTTCATATAAGTCTTGAAGAGATCCTCACACCTCTTACGACCTTTATTTCCAGAATAAGACTGGGCTACTAACCAGTGCGTAACTGCTGCAGTCCCAAGCTCTTTGTTCAGAAAAGCAAGTTCTTCTTGAATTGACATGCCACTCTCTTGCTTTCCCAGGGAGGCTAAAAGCTCTTCAACACTTGATAAACCCCGTAAAACGGCAACTTGCTTAAGCATGTCATGATGATCTGGAAGAAATAACATAACATTCACATTATTATTATTTATAACTTTGCACATTTATATCATTTTTGCGATAAAAATATGGCTTTAAACAGAGAAGAATTGAGGGAGAGAATTTATGCTGACGCCTTCTACATTCTTTATATTGATTCATCATTTCTGGCCGACCCCAAATTATTTTGGGATCAAGGCTTTGTTGTTGTAGTTGTAGTATTTATATTATTTCTTTGAAGTTCGCAACAAGAGCAAGTGTGCTCATCTCCTTCCAATAGACTTTCATCATCATTCAAGGAAGAAGATTGCTCCCCAAGCATGTTTGTTAGTCTAACAGTAATTAGTGTATATCATGTCCTGGCCTCTTTCTTGCAATAATGCTTGTAATGCTTGTATTTAAGATGTGGTTTCGAGTTAGGCCTTGTTTTAGTTCAGTCAAATTATGTCCTAACGATACTTGAGCTTCCAAGAATGATCATAAAATAATAAGAGCACCCATATATATAATTGAGCCCCATGATTTATAAAATATGATACATAAAAGAGAAACAATGGAAAAAATTTCGACTTACAGTAGCCTGGTCCTCCAAGCTTCAATGCTGTTTCAAGGCCAAGTAAAATAACGTGAGAAAGGACTTTCATTGAAAGGAAGAGTATGAAGATTGAGCAATACATGATATAGGGTAAAACAAGAGTACAATACATGATTGAGCGAAAAGAAAGTTGGGACAATATTCTGAAAATTTGTGACATAATTGAGCAATAAAAACAAGGAAAAATAGAAAACAATAATCCCACCTTTGGGTGGTCTTCTCAAAATAGTCCCACATTTACTTAATTTCAAAATAATCCTACCTTTAACTTCAATCTTAATAAAACAAGCCTTTTACCTGTTGCTAAGCTATGGTAACCGATATATCAAGTTAATTGTAGCACTTGTCAAGTTTTCATTGGTTTAGATATTCATTTTTCTTAAAAAGCTTAAAACTATAAAATATAATCAATATCTTTGCAGCTCACATCTTCTGTAATTGTACAGCACCACCCTCATCCAAAAATTCAACCCCTGCCACCACAACTTCCTACCCCAACATCACAACATCTTTGTATGATTGTACCTAACCAATGCAACTTCTAATAGATCTATGTTTCTCGCCCCAGCACCATTCAATCATATCAGCTAAGAATGATTAACGTGTTTAACTACTAAAATTAAGGTTGCAAATCAGGACAAAAAAAGATGCTCCTAGTCTTATCCTGAAAACATGGTACAAGATTTCCAATGGTTAATAATTTGGAATCAATTATAAATCATTCCATAAAACAACTTAATTCTACTAATAAGTTGAACTTGTGTAGTTAAAGTTGAACTTGTGTAGTTAAAAACTTAAAATTGTAAATAAATCACTATAAAGTTCTGTTTATTTAATTAAACCAGAAAAAAATTGATATTTTTAAGGGGAGTTAACCTTTGAAACTCCTGTCATTGAAATCCACCCAAAAACTGATCCATATCAAGGGGCGCACTGAAGTAGCCAGAACAAGATAATATATTTTAGTGTAATCCTCTACTTTCTCCTTATTTCTGCCGTTTCTATTCACCACAATCACACACCATCTTTATACATTTTCTGCCCAAAAAAACCAGTCCATAACAGAATACCACCCAAAGGTGGGATTATTGTTTTCCACTTTTCCTAAAAACAATCATATAAGCCTCATTTCCTCAACCAAAATCACAGATTGACATGCAATTCTACATAAAAGTGTTATCAAATTGAAGCAACGTCAGTTTGAATTCTTTCACAATTTGACTCATATAAAAGTTACTTTCTGTGTGATCCCTAATAACAATTAAAAAAAAAAAAAAGGGTCAGGCCACTTCAACTCAATTCAGTGAAGATAATGAAACTTAACAAAGAAAAGAGGGTGTACATTGCAGAAGTTAATCAGATCACAAACTAAGGCTTTCATACTTGTACAGGATACAAACTGTTTATCATATGTTAGTTATGGAATAAGGATAAAATGTAGCATTGGATAAACATAAATTAGAACAATCTTTGTTCGCCCGCATAACGGAATTTGGGTGAGGAATTACATAGCTGAATAGGCTGTTCTTTGTTTTATTATATAAGGCCCCAATCTTATGAATTTGGATGAGGAGACTTGAAAATTGGAAAGGATCGGATAGAGGAAGGTGAAAGGTAAAGGACAACCAAAGCAAACTTTAATGAAGGTGATTGAAATCGATATGTGACTATTGGGAAACGGCTTATGGAGTCACCGAGTTCATCAGAGACACTGAAAACAAAAGGCTGGTGCGCCTTAAATATTGGGAAACGGCTTATGGAGTCCCCAAATTACCAGCTTTTGTACCTTTGCCTTCCAAGTAGTAAAGGTGCAAACAAAAAGTTCAGAGAGTTGAAGATTCTGTAAGTGGTCATAGAGCGAACTACATGAAAATGCAACTCAGAATCTAGATGACCAGACAATATTAAACCCCGGACGACCCTTGCAACCGGGCCTTTTGTACTTTCGGTCCGAAATACCCGACCCGAGTCTTAAACCACCGGGCCCAACCACCCGCCTTTTCAGCCCGAAATCCGCCCGAAACCTAATTTGCTCACCTCTAAGACTAAACGAGACCTCATTCATAATTTCATATCCAGCTAATCTAAACGGAAAATAAAACAAATTGATGATCATACAAAGCAAAACAATTATGAAATTCATAGAGAGAATAAATACAGAAACAATTATGAAACTGTAACCTCGGAATAATCGGGAGCGTGACAACCACCCTCCTACGCTTGATTTGCCGCCGCCGCCGACTCTACTGCCTCCGCCCATCGTCTACGAAAACTAGGCAAGGATGAAGGAGCGTAAAAACTAAAAACTTTAGCTAGGGTTTTCTTCTGGTAAATGGTAATTTTCTGAAGTTGCCTCCTTTGTTCTTGGCTTTATCTACCAAGTAATCCGTGGTAAATTTTGTTACTGTAGTATTTTTAATTGACTAAAGTACCCTTTACTTTACCAAGGTTTAAATAAAAACTAGAATATTATATCATATCTTATTTATATTGAAAATATATCACACATGATATATTTTCGTAATCTATTTATCTTATATGCTCAACACATTGGTGTTAGTATTTTCATAAGTATTTATCTTATATGGTCACAAAGGCCTAACTACTTTTATATCCTCTCATCTCTTGTCACAAACACCTTCCCTCTCCTTAATAATGAAACTTAACTGCACTCAACGACGACATCAACAATCTTTCCACCACTAGGCAAATTATTCACACCGATAGATAGATTTAGCCAAAATTCCTTCTCAACGATTCTTGAGCGTCATATAAATAAATAAGTAAAAATGATGTCATCATACGTATTTATATCTATATCTGTATCTATACTAATATTTAAAAACAAACCCCAACCTATAAATATGCCACATCATACATTTCATTTTTATTATGAATGTCGCATGTCATTATTTAGAAAAATCATAAAAAAAATTTATTTTTATTTTGAAAAATTAGA